AAAAAAATGTAACCATGTATGGTGACAAATGTTAACTAGAGTTAACTGTGGTGATTATTTCTAAATGTTTACAAATACCAAATCATTACATTGTACACATGAACCTAATATAATGTTATATGTAAATTATACCTCATTTTTGTAAAAAGGGAAGAAAAGACCATTTTGAAGCTGTAAGTTGGAATCCTGGCTCTCCTGTCTGGATTAGGGTAGAGGGAAGGAAGAAGAAAAAAGAGAAAAAACAGGAGACTAATATTTTGTACTATGGACAACATGTTCTCTAATGATTAAATCTTTAAAAACATTAGCAACTACATAAGCTGTTAGAAAAGAAGCATACAATGTAAGATACATTGATAGGAAATGGAACTTATGAAAGTAGGTATGAAATTCAGAAGCCAAAATTGAAAAGATTAAAATGATTCATGGTTTTTTTTTTAATGTTTTATTTATTTCTAGGAGAGAGAGAGAGAGACAGCGTGAGCAGGGGAGGGTCAGAGAGAGGGAGTCACAGACTGAAACAGTCTCCAGTCTCTGAGCTGGCAGTCAGCACAGAGCCCGACACGGGGCTCAAACCCACGAACCACGAGATCATGACCTAAGCGAAAGTCAGACGTTTAGACTAAGCCACCCAGGCGCCCCANTGAGATCATGACCTAAGCGAAAGTCGGACGCTTAACCGACTAAGCCACCCAGGCGCCCCACAATGATTCATGTTTTAAAAACAAAAATCTCCAAGTAAAGGTAACATAAACAATATTAAAAGACAAATACATCCTAGTAGATAAAATCTGCAACATAATTTTCAGATACTGAATTTATTTTTATAGGACATAGAAAGTCCCCACTGGTCTATAGGAAGACAAGCAGCTAACCCATAAGAAAATAGAGAAGGTACATAAAAACAATCAATAGACAAAGGAGATGAACACATGATCAATACATGTGTGGGAAAATGTTCAAATTGACTAGTAATTAAGAAATTGCAAATTTAAACTTCGCTGGAATATAATTCACTTCCTCACATCAAATGAGGAAAAATTTTAAAGATTCACATCTGCTAAGGAATTAGGTTAAAGTCACTTTCAACTGTGACTAAATGCCATTTTGAAGAAGGAAACTATCCTACAACAATGCTGGCAGACATGTAATCAAGATGTGCAGAAACACATACACATAACAGAAGTGTTCACAAAGTTATTATTTGCAATAATAAAAATCTATAAGTAATTCAAGTTTAAACAAAATAGGAACAATTCCATATAGCTAGTGCATCTATACAGCAGAATTTTGTGCATCCAGCACAGTACAATTTAGCCTCTGAAAATAATGATGTAAGTCAGTGGTTCTCAAATTTCAGTGTACATCAGAATTACCCAGGGCACTGGTGACGACACAGATCACTGACCCCAACACAGTTTCTGGTGTCATGAGCCCAACAACTTTCCTTTCTAACAAGTTCTCTCCAGGGATCACAACTCGGGAACCACTAGACTGTATCTATTGTTGGTGATTTGGACATATAGCCAAGTGAAACAGTGTAGTCACAGAATAATACTTTTTATTATCTAATTTAAAAATGAACATAAAACATTAACATATATAATCATATTTATGGGAATGCACAAAACAAAGACTGCAAGATGATACATCGAACCATTTAACATAAACTTCTAGGAGGTGAGTGGGACAGTGGAAGGGATCATGTTGTTAAGTATCTCATTGTTTAAATCATTTACAGGAGAGCTATATTCAGAATTCATTTGTTATTGATGTGATAATACTGAGAGAGAATAGAGGAAGGAAAGAAGGAAGAAAAGAAAAGAGAAAGGGAGTGATGGAGGAAAACAGAAAAGAAGAAAGAAAAAGAGACGGTAGCTGAATCTTGAAATTATGGACATCTAGAGGTAATATTAGGTTGGTAGATTTACTAACAAATCTTTAACCTCTTCCTTCTTTCTTACTTCTCCATATATCTTTATAATACACCCTCATTAACTGAAGAAGTCTGAACATAGTTCTAGTCTTTGCAAGCTAAGAAAAGGCAATTAAAAAATATAAAGGCTCTATAGAGTATTAAAACACAAAAATATTGAAATTTATTTAAATGGATCTAATTTAAAATAGGCCATAGGAATGCTAAGAACCATTTTTTAAATCTACTTATTTTCATATTTACATATTCAATTCTAGACTTTAAAATCTAAGCATAAATTAATTAAAAACAATAAGTAAAATGCCAGCATGTTTTATTATATATCAATATAATACTTATTTACATGCCAAGTGCATATATATGTGTATGTGTGTGTATATATATATATATATGTGCATATATATTTACAATATCCATTTAACTCTCAAAAGGAGTCTATGATGTAGGTATGATGGTTACCATCATCCTTTTTATACAGATAAAACACCTGAGGCACAGAGAGCAGAGAGGTCAAGGAGCTTTCCCATGGTCACGAGCAGTCACAGTAGATCCTGGGTCATACCCAAGCAGTCTGGTCCCAATGCCATGCTATGAACTACTGCATCCCACCTTCCTCTCCTTCATTTATTTCCCTTGCATACAAAAATACCCTCAAGCTATTATACATTAGCAGATGATATATTTTTAAGAGATTTTTTTTTTTAATCTAGAAAAAAAATTCCCGCCTTTGAACACTTTTGGAAATGGGGACCTTTATGACTTCCTTTGCCACAGGAATAGGCAAAAGATTAAAGAGTCTCCTGAAGGGTAAAGTGCCTCGCTCTTGCACTGTATTCCCAACCTATCATATTCAGATGAGCCAAAACAGCCAGAAAGTCATTCCAGCTTCATGGCATCAGCCAAGAAAAACCATCCTCAGGACCAGCAGCTATCAGCATGCCCTTTAGCGTTTGGCCAGGACATTGAGGCCCAGCTGTTCTGTCAGTTTTCCTTATACAATTTGTTGACAAAGAAGAGGCCGGTTAATTTTTCAAACAGGCAATTGAAACTGATTCACCTGAGAATGCCTGAATTACTTCTAGGAATGAGGAAATAACAATACTGAGAAAACTTTTTCCTAGGGTCAGAATACCCTAAAATGGTTTCAGCAATGGAATTTCTTAGAAAAAACACATAAGGCAATAATCTACTTCCTTGTTACAGAATTTAATTTGGAATTGACAGAATCAGAGATTATCCTCCAGACTGTGAATCATTACAGACAAAATGTATGGAGAAAATAAATTCCTAATACTAAGTTAAGGGAACAGAAAGATAGATATGAAGGAGTAGACATTAGGGAAGACTTTTTAAAAAGATAGAAAGTTGCATTTTTAAGCAGAATCTATAGTTTAGAAGGTGCCAAATCTGGCGGGTTCGGTGTGGGAATAATGGAAGCATTAATGAGTCTTCTCTGCCATAAACTGCCTCTCATTTAGCAATTTGTGGCCTCTTTTATATTTGGACACTCATACTTTGATCCAACTTTTTGATTCTGGAATTGTTCTATGTATATGAATACAAAAATTATAATCAAGTTATAAAAAGACTAAATTTTGAGATAATATTGAGTTAATGTTATCATTTTAAAATTTTAGTAAAATTATTTTTATTGAAGTCCATTGTCTCTATATAAGTTTTAAAATAAAAATGCCTGACATCGGTTTGTCTACATCAAATTTTAACAGTTATCATTTTTGTCCTTATATGTTTAGTTTTGAAATCATTGTTTTTCATGAAGTCTAATTATAATAGGTCAAATTTTGTAAACTCAATTTTAGTAACATAATTTCATTCTTTGATCAACTTTCAGTTAAAAGCAAGTATTATAAGCCACTGTGAATTTTAATGTTTAATATTTTTAAAATTTAATAAAAGTTATGTTTAAGATAATATTTTCTAAATTACTGTTTTTCATTTTACCAACAGCGTAGCCTTGTTTTATATTTACCATTTTAGTTTTAGTCATGGTCTTATTTATCCATCTATTGCTTCATTCTGTGAAGTTCATTGGCTTATTTTTATTTGTTCTTCAGGTCACTATGGTAAGGTCAAACAACTCTGTGTATTAGGAGTTACAGTTGGTAGGAGCAAAAGAGAAGGTTAAAATGATGGGTTCATACAGTCTCCACACTGCCCGGTACTTTCTCCTAGGTAGTGGTGTTCGCTGGATTTTTTTTCCTGTAAGACTAATACTTGAAATATGCAACTTTGCTACCAGATGAGATCTCTCTTCCATCACAGTGTCTGTACTGATTGCCAGTGTAGGTTTTGAACGAGTCATGTTAAATATAGGACAATAAGAATTATGGACTAAAACATCCTGAATATTCGGTACTGTATCTGAATTAAATTTGTACATCATGAATACACAGTCTAACAATATTGCCTTCTGCCTAACCCTTTCTTTCAGTCCTACAAACTTTTGCTTTGCTCATTATTTATAATTTTAGGGCCCTTTGAAAGTCTTGATTTCTGTTCCTGCTATTAAAGCAGCTTATGAAAGCTGCAGCAGATGACTCTGAAAGCCTGAATGCATACACCTGCAAACATTTGTTTTGCAAAGTTTTCTATGAATATAATGATGAGGAGTAAGGAAAGTGCATGTGACCTCGTACACCACATTCTTCAGAACAAATGCTTCCTCAGCTGCAATTATGTCATCATGAAATCATGCTCCACATTCTAAAATAAACTCATTGCCATATGAATTGTTATCTTACTGAGATATTTTTGTGGTTGTCTTTTTAACAGCTTCCTTAAAAGTGTCTTCCAAATTTCTCACAATACCAAAACAAAAAAAAGTCTTTCTTCATCTTATCCAAGTGAGCACTTCAAGTGTGAATATTCAGTAATCACCACCCTTGTCCTGCTTCGCACACAGTGACTTCAATTTCACTCACACACACACACACAATTTTTTTTTTTTTTTTTTTTTTTAGCTAAATCTCCTGAAATATATACGTTTCTGACTTCCAAGAAAGGTCAATGAGAGTTTTCCTCAATGTCACGGTTCGGGACTCACCTGTGGACGTGGATGTCCTGTGACCAGGCAGGTCAGTTCTAGGGTTTCTCCTTCCCGAATAGTATAGACCCTTTCAGAGTAGCGCTCCTCCTCAATGTTACAGGCCAAGCCTGAATGCACAATACGAACCGTTGGGGGAGCTGTCGAGTCAGGAAGAAGAGAGACAAGACACATAAAAAATAAGTAAAGTGTCCTCCTGTGAGTCATCTTGGTTTTAAGAGCAATTCTTATTAGGCTTTACCACAGTCAGATCCATCAGTCTTAACACTTTGAGCAACCCCATGGAATTAAAGATATTACTGAACAGAAACCTTTAAACTTTTCTAACGGTCACCAATATGTTCTGAAAAAGGCAAAAGGGAACAGGATAGTGGGAGAAAACTCATGACTTAGGAAATTATCATCATTACAAGACTACATGATAAAATTTGACTGCTAAAATGTGAGAAGTACTTCTTTTTCTGAAACCCAAAATTTAATATAGTAAAGGATGCTGTCCAAAATCTAGGAAGTGCAAACTCAAGAGACCATTAGAAAGGAAAAAGGAATTTAAATGAAAAACACTGGCATTTTTCTACTAATTTTATAAGCCTTTTAGTGCAAATAGAGTGCTAATGAATGAGAAGAGTTGGTTGTCAGGAAGTGAACATCAACTTGGTTTTCAATATTTATAGACTCCTGTGTTGATATGAGCAAAAGATGATCATTGAATTAAGTCACTGAAGAAGGCAATAAATCATTGATGCCCAAGTATAAAATTCTGATTCGAGAGACTTAGTTCTCATGAAGCTATCCAAATTCCTAAGTATAATTTTCTCCTTTTTCAATACCACACAAGGCAATAAAACTTGACTAACATTCATTGACTTACTTATCAATGGAAACCCACACTATGCAAAAACTCATTCAGTCATAACAGATAATAAGATACATTTCCTGTCACCAAGGAGACAACTCTCATTACTAGCTTCAAATTGGAGATCATCCTCATTTGTGAATTCAGGATATTTATTTGTAATAAATGCATTTGGGAACGGAGGAGAAAGGGTTATTTTAATTAAAGGCAAGTGGAAAGGCTATCTCTACAGGTAAAGGATAGTGATCTCAAGAATTTCCCGTAGCAGTCTCAACCTAAACATCAGTATTGTCAGTAGGGGATATGGTTGCTTAAAAATTAATGAAAGCGTACTTGGGATTCTTTATTTAACATTAAAAGGATCCTGAATGTTGTAGAATTTGGTTGAACTTGGTAATTCTATGGAGGAGATAAAATGAATATAAATCCAGGTTATGGGAAAATTTCTTCTGGAAAAATCTGTGCTCTGAAAGTAATACAAAAGAAAAGGTTTCCAATACCTAATATTTTGTTTTATATAAACTAATGTATATATCATTAACAATTGAAAAGAACATATTTTATTATCCTTCTCAATTTCAAACAGAAACTGATAGAAAACTGGATAATAAAATCATTGGGTATTTCAAGTTTTTTCCGGATTTCCAAGCAGAGTCCTCTTCTTCAACTTTCAAATTCAGGATCTCATTTTCCAATACTCAGCATCAAATGACATGTAAAGATTTCCAGGCATAGGATAAGAAGAGAATGTAGAAAAGTAATTCTTACATTCACTGTGCACAAAAACAACTCCCAAGAAACTTGTTTAAAATGCAGATTTCAGAGGTATGGCCAGAGATCTGTTATGGATGCAGAAAACGTCGGGAATCTGCTAATAATTTTCTAAGTCTTGTAGTACTTTTTGACTCAAGGAAAATACTCCAAGGGATACAATATCCTATTCCTTTTAATATTTTCAAGTAACTAAACTTCATGCTATGCATTATTTCACTGGTTAAATTAAATGATGTTCAAATAAATCAAATGTTTTGTTTGATCTATAAAACCAATTTATCAAAAAAATTTACCATGTCTTTGGACTCTGTCTAGACACTGTAATAATTTGTTTAGTTTTATGACATTAGAAATCCTTATCTGCAGTGTTTTCCTGGGTGTTCTGATACATAGCACAGAACATTTTTCCTACATGTCATTATAACAAGGATCAAACTTAAACTTCAATTCATATAAATAATACCAGAGAGCTACTTATTTTTAAGCACCCACCATACAAAATGTGTACATAGTATAGAGGTTAACAAACTGATGACAAAATATAAATAGAAATACAGATGTATTGCTTTGAAATATTATTCTATGCCAAATATAACTTTATAAGTGATAGCACACATTTACTAATACATCTAATTATAGAGTAACATGACAATTTTTCCAGATTCATTTACATGTTATTTTTGTTTTAGTTTCAAATCAATGACTAGCATTGTTATTTCAAGCTATATCTTTCCAAAGCATCATTATGCAAATAAGTAGCCTTATTTAAAACATTAAAATGATACAGTAAGCACACTGTGTTCATGTACAAGCGTTAATTTTCTATTTTCTTCTATATTTTAACACATTCTTAGAAAAGATAATGTCTATATATTGTATTCATCATGAACCTACTGACTATCTTATGGTAAGGTGGAATATTCTCCCAAAGTTTAGGAATGGAAGCTTTTTTTTTTTTTCCTAGTATGCATTAAAAGATGTGCTGAATACTTTTAGTTGCTCAGTGATAAAGTGAGTAATCTGGAAGCTTCCACCAACTCTTCTGCTCAGCTGAGAAGGTCTTAGCTCATCCAGGTCAATGCTCTTATTTCCAAAATTGAGGACATCAAGTGACCTGCTCACAGGCCTGCAGCTACTTGTGGCCTAAATGAGACCAGAACCACTGGTCCTTTGTTCTTTTCACTACTTCATGCTATTAAAACTATGTCTGACATCGTTAAATTAGGGCTCTAAATAACTCCTACACTAGACTTCCACTAGACTAGGGGGAAGAAAAAGATTAAGTGTTCATGAAGTAGTCAGACCACTGCAAGCAGACCAACAACATAAACACTAGAATTGCTGCAAACAACCAAAGCAACATTGTCCCAATTCATCATCCTGCCTCCAGTCCCTGACAAACCCACAAAATCTCACAACTGTCAAAATAATATGCTGAAAGTTTCTATTTTCATCATGTCCTCTTCTTGACTAAGGACCCATGAGGTCTCAGCATGACATTTCACAGAGTTCTAATGCCTCTAGGAGTTCTGTAAAGGTCCTCATACTGACTATCTAATCCAAAATCCTACTTCTCAGTAACATCAGACCCCCAGGGGGAAGGTAAAGAGCACTGAGATTTTAAGCCTTTGATCTCATATACAGATTTTCAAGCATGTATTTATTGATCAACTGCTATACGTGATACAAGAGGCTTTGCTCACTATATTCTTCCATCTAGGATTCCCACACAAATATTTAGATCAATGTCCCTGATACCATCTTGCATTATTTAGCAATGACTATCTTATCTTTTCTTCAGGAGTTATGTACTGCCCAGTGATTTTCCTTTTTCTTAACACTCTAATTTTATATTCAGTAAATCATTGCCAGGATGAGCACGATTTTGGGCATCTGCTCCATATCACATGATCCAGAATGCAGAGGAGGTTTATATTTAATCACTTATTTTAATAATTCATTCACAATTTATGTTTTAGCAAATATCACTATAATGACACCAACATCCTATGTGAGCAAAATATCAGCTCTTATGGCACTGAATTTACTTACTTTAAATATAAATGCAATTTGCATTCCTCTAACTAAAGGACGTCATCTTTTATCCTCTGCCTTGTTGAAAAAAGCCTCATTTCATCATCCTGAAATTGGACTAAGGGTTATGATCCCCTTTGCCCTGTAGAGTCAGCAATAAATTAAAATGTTAAAATATTGCCTGAGACTCATATTCATCCACATTTGTTTGAAGTAAACCAAATCCCATTACATAAAATCTTTCCTAACACTAATCACATCAACTCCCTTAATTTGAGTAAATTGGCTTTGGGTTCAAAAGATCAGCCTAAAGGGGCAAAAGAGAGACATTCTTTTATCTTGTTACAGTATACTTTTGAAAGTTAAACCAAATTCTCTCTGTATGCTGTTGGAGAAAGGACACAAATAAATTATTCTCCAATGGCAACATCCAGGAGCCTTTTAAGGCTTTCATTCTCATATACAGACTTCAAGCATGTATTTGTTAAATATCTGCTATAGATAAGGCAGGAGGCTATGTTCAGGGGATATAAAAATTAATGCTGTGAGGTGTAACTTTTAGCGGCTTACAGCCTATAGGGTCTGTCCAATTAACAAGGAAGGAAGGGAGGGAGGATGGGAGGGAAGAAGGGTGGTATCTAGCAGAAGAAAGTGAAAAGCATTTTAAGACACAACCCAGAAAATGTCTAAATCTGCCTGGAGGTTTCTAACATGTGGCAATGACATGTAACCTAGGTCTGGAACCATGTGGTGGGAACAAAGGGGAAGGACACTCCAGAAAGAGAAAGCAATGCATTCAAAGACATGCCTGCAAGAGACTGCTTGCAGTGTTTAGGAAATAACTACATTAAAATGTGGCCCATGCAATTTATAACTTACTCTAAATGCTGGCACTGGCACCACTCTCTCAATTTGCCATTATGTCTCCAGACACAGCAGAGACACTATATAGTCCCGGGAATGGAAATGAGGGCAGAGACCTACTTCAAAGGTTTTGTTAGACAGGAGATGAAGATTCACTGAAGGTGGGGTAAGATGGCACTGAAGATTACACTTTAGTTAACTAGCTGAGAGATGACTGTTTAAAGAGAAAAGGTTCTCTTGACCTAGCTGGCTCAGTCAGTAGAAAATATAAGTATTGACCTCAGGATCCTGAGTTTGAGCCCATGTTGGGCCTAGACCTTACTTTACATACATACATACATACATACATTCATACATTCATACATACATACATAAATTGCTCTTTTCATCACTACAGACTCTACATTATTCATAGGTAGAAAAGATTTGAGATCAGGTATTCTGAGCCCAAATCATGGAGGGAAGCACTTTATGAGAGAAAGGAGTTAGCTGCAAAGCATTTTCAAAAGAGAAGTTTCCCAGGAGCAGGTACTGTTCCTGAAGGACACACCATTATTAACCAGCAAATAGTTTTGGTATTAGGGGTTTTGTCTCATCTAAGAACACCAAATA